TAAACTAACCATGTGCCGGTTAACCCCTTCCACTTCTGAAGGTTGTAATAGTTTTGAGAGGATGTAGGGCTGGGGGCTTATATAAACCATAAATTTCCAGAACTAAGCTTGTCAAGTTGTATGGGTAGGGTTTATGACGTTTAGGACCTGGGGTTGGGGATCTAAAACTCTGCTCTAAAGCTGCCTCTGTCACAGACCCCACATCATATCTCTCGCTGCCTCAGCACTGCATGACGGCCTACCGCCGCGGACGGGGCTTCTCGGTAGGCGCCCGCGGACAGCCAGGCCTGGGGATGGTACCCAGTACTGGAACCTGGTATTCAGGGCATCAGGGGTTTATGGGTTTGAGGTAGAATGTGCCATGGATTACTTGCAGTCCTCGTCAGCAGCATCACCAACACCACTGACAGCACCATCTCCCGAAATTCTTATGGTAATCGCACCTCTTGCCGACAAAATGCCCTGCCGTGCATGAAGTATGCTGCTCCTCGTCCTCCTCCGTGTTCTCGGAAACCTCTGGGCTTTCATTGCGACAAGCCCCGGATGAATTGGGATTGCATGTGCGCTTGTATTTCCAGCCCTGCACTTTAAGACTGCACGGTGCCTTAGTTTGCCACGACATCAGACATCAGATCTCCGATGTCGCCTCGGCGGCCCCCAACAGTGCAAGGATTGTGGGTTTCATAACGCTGGAATGCAAGGTCGGAAGGAGTAGGGTTCGGGAGTTCTGGTGGTTTATCCTTATTTGTTGGAAGGAATCAACTCCACAAGACAAAGCCCGCGATTGTTGATCTGAGATGATCTGAGTACATCTTCGAGATTCTGCCCCGACAGCTACAAGTAAGAACACAGTTCCTGGAAATCGTTCTAACAGTTAGACCTCAAACTGCAACAAGATATGGCTAATCCGCAAACCTAATATCAGGCGGCTATGGCAGCCTCAAGGGCATCCGCTTGGGCCTCAAGGGGTGGCTCCTTTGCGAGCCAGGAGAGCAGAAAATTTGTTTCTCAGTTTGAGACTTTTTGGAGTTAATATATGTGTATATATATATATATACATATATGTATATGTATGTGTGTATATATATATGTATGTATAAGGACATGTACACACGGCAATGTTCTAATAAGCACGAGTCCGATAAGGGTTTAATGGTGTGTTCTTGTCAGCTGTAGGAAGCGATTTGGGATGTCGCTGCAGTTGGGCTTGCGGCTGGTGCGGATGTTGGTGTTGTTGCAGCGTCGCTGTGTTGTTGCTACTGGCTTTCCCTTCTCTGCCGCTGTTGGCATTGTTCGTTGTCTCTGCAACTTTCTGGTGTTGCCGATGGGGCTTGCGCAGGCCCAGGGTCCAATTAGTGAGAATTCCTAAACTCCAAAGCTTAATCTAATTTCAACCTTTAACTGAGCGGACGGAAAAAGGTGCCTATCAACAAAACACACCTTCGAGCCGGAACTCGGCTGTGCTTCCCTAGGCGTAAAACCTGAACCGAGACCCTGCTGCCAGGCATCGCCCAGGACGCCGGCACGGTGACTTGAGGTTTCGTATCAGGAGAAAGGGGATATCGGACATATGATACTTCCTTACAAAGTTCTTGTTACATTATGTTGCATTACATGTTTCGTTACCGCACTGCAAGAAACACCGCTGTGGGTTTGTCAAGTCAGGTGTAGAGCTCAGGTGGTCGACATTTTGGGAATCGGGGCTGTCAACTCCTAATTCTAGGAGTTGAGGGTTTAGGCTTTGAGAATTCCAGTCCCGAGCTACGGGTTCGCAATTCTGGGCTGCAGAAGTAGGATTCCAAGAAGGGGCTTACACCCGATTTAAATGCAGAAGGTTGCCACCACCTCCTATCATGACTAATCATCACCGTGTCACCGCACAATACCATCTGGCATCGCCATGAACGAGGAAGATTGTGTTTAGCAATGGCTTAGGGATGGAAAACCGTATACGAAGGCTTCAATTTGGCATGTGTGGGGTCAGACGGGGATCTTCAATAGCTTGAGCCGCGCTCTTCGGGACCTTGGTGACTCGACAAGCTCATAACCGCTGAGCACGAATTTGTGGTCAAAGAAATCCTACGGTTCCGGTGATCAGAAGAGGGGGGGCCATACGAGGGTTTCTTATCATCAAGGCCCCCATCGGGGTTCTTATGAGAGGAGAGGGTTGGAACAATTAGGATTCCCTTGTTCCTGAAACTTCAATATCTACGGATCTAAGAAACCTCATGTCTGCAATCGTTTTCACTTGTCTTCTTTTCCCGGTCCGGTCCGGAGCACTTGGCTTCCTGACCGGCAGGGGCTTCGGTTCATCTCAGATGCACAGTGAGAGATCCCCGCACCACGCGTGAAAAGCGGTGCAGGGTGGACTTTCTCGAGCTGGTTGTTGATGTCTTCGGTCTTAGGACAACTTGTTTGCACGTAGGCGTATCCTTATACACATGCACACAACACAAGCGGATATATATATATATATATATATATATATATATACACACATATATATATATAGACATATCCGCGCACGCACACGAACATACACACAAATACACGAATTTACAGAGACACATGCCTACACATGCGCACATTATATACGTAGATGTCTCCGTATACTTGCAAAAATGTACAGACACAAGCACAATGCTTGCACATGCATGTGGTATACATGTATGTACATGTACAAGCAACACAGAACAGTTGCATACAGGTTTACATCCACATTCACATACACATGCACATGTAGAGGTTGTACGTATATGTGTGTACACATGTATACTTATGTAAGGCACACACATGTACGTATGTACATATTATACACATCTACACACATATGCGTATGCATAAGTTGCCCTTCAGATACCGAAACAGTGCGCACCCCGGATTTCGTTTACGGTGGTGTTGGATAGCCAGCTCAAAGGGCAAACCCATGAACCCCTTCGCCACAAGATTTAAATCCGTGCCAGCTTAGTAACTTTAGCACCAACCTTCCCCAGAAAGGAAGTTCCTATGAAGCCATCACCAGTACCGTTCTTGTTGCCGTTGGCTTCATTGAAGTGAATTTCGATGATTTTGATGTGACGGTTGGAGCTGGTGCGAAGATGAGAAAGGTGGTGAGGGAAGAGGATGCTGATGATGAGTTCCGCATTTTTCAATTCTTGACAGGTGTTGTTTGCACTCTGGCATTTCTGAGGCAGACGAGCTTCGTGTGGCTCTGAAGTGGCAGGGCTTCGCTGTGGATGCTGGGGCGGATGCCTCGAAGGGGTTTTGCAATCCAGACTTCCGACCAAGCAGGACAAGAGTTTGAGAGGCAAAACGAGCGATTCGTTGGTTCATCGGTTTATCGAGTCTGTTATAGATGGGTGGGTCATCCTCGGCTTGATTGTGGGGGACCATAAATGTTAGCAGGAAATTTCCCTTTATGCGGCAGCTTGTTAATCCATAAGAACTAACTGGACCCGTGAGCAACACCCATAGCACCGCGGGTTCTGAAACGTCAGGATGCCATCTGGATTTTCGCTGTTTTTTCCAGTCCATGCCCATCATCGGATACTGTCGATGGTACCATCACAGGCATGGCAAATCATCAGGGTTGTTTAGGGCTTATGTCGCAGTCCGATCAAAGAAGAGTAATCTTCCACCGCCCTTCTTTTTGAGCGCTTTCTCTTCCTGACACTGAGGTGGCCGACTCCTTGGCACAGGAGGTTGCCGATGGCAAAGGCTTGAACCAGCTCTACTCTCAGAGCTTTCAATGTTTATAAATTTTCATTGATACAATATAGTATAGTATAGTCTATTGTCGTATATTGTGCATGGCAGTTACAATCAGAGCGGCTTCATCAGACCTCAACCTTAGACGAACCCCGAAGCCCACCCTAGTATGCACTAAACTCCAGACCTGTGCAGAGCGTGACTTCCGAAAGCCCGTCAGCGAAGAGATTGGAGTCCGCTTGTCAAAAGAAAGCACTTAGGTTAGTTTTCTTCAGGCGATCTGGGCTTCCGAAGGGTATGCGAGAGGGAAAAAGAAGGGTGTGTGAAGTTTTACAGTGCTGAGCACGGCCGGACTCAAAAGCCCCGAATGGCAGCACCCGAATCCCAACTCTCGATGTAGTCCGAAGCAGTCATTGCAAAGCAGAGGTCTTGAGGCCAAGGCCCAAGCCCGTTGAACCCTACCCTGGGATGGCGGCACCGTTCAAGTTTGCTGAGGCGCGAGTTTCTGATCTTCATGCGGAAATACCGCGACCAAGAGGTTGCGACCGGAGTTCTAGGGGCTTGAAGAATTGCCGATGCTATTCCTCAGAATTATTCATACAAATACAGTCAGACATGATCACTGCCCTACCCATTAAGGCTGCAAGATATTCAGAGCACGGATGTGTATTTCGAACCGGGGTTTCAGTGTCTTCGGCGTAGGGGTTGCAGGATCAAGCTTGTATGTTGTGACGGTTGCTCAAACATAACTGGCGGAGACATGCTTTCCGAACTCCATGCCGCCAGCGCCGTCTGGACAGAATGCCGGGACTCTGGAGAGTCTTCAGTCCAGGGAGGATATAGAAACACCAGATGCGTGTTCCACAGTAAGTTGTTCTCCTAAAGCTCGAAACTACACTTGTGTAGTTAAGCTGCACCGAAGATGCGGGGAAGTCGGGCCTTCAGCACATGTTGCCAGCACATGCCTCTGCATCACATAACCTCCGCATATCCTAGTAGCCCAAACCATTTCAAGTTTATCATACGCAGCAGTCATGGGCTCGAGGTTTTTTGCAATCCCGAAGGGATTGGCCTAGTCTTCGAGTTTCGGAGTCCCTGACAGTACCAGTACGGAATGAGCTACCCTAAAACCTATAAAGACCTTAGTCTGCTTCCCGGATCTTGCAGACGGAAAAAGGACGATAAGAACAAAAGGCAACTATATTCTACTGTAGACTCGCGGCACATTCATCTGAAGCTATCGTAAATGGATCCGGAACTTGAAGACTTTCCACGGGGACGATCTTCCAGCCATGGGACCGCGAGCAGGCGGCAGGGTGGTTCGGGATGTTTGCTCTTGGCTTTCCCTCGGGCTCCAGTTACCCACATCGTAGGTTACTAACCATATATGTAATAAGCCCTTGGGATTTCTGGTGCGTTTAAGGTAAAAGTGATGGGTGCGCAGGTGTTTCGGGTTCCGTTTGCTGGGCAGGGTGCAAATAGCTTGTAGAGTTGATATGGGAGTTTCGGAAAATTGGGGGTACCTTATTTTGGGGTCCTTATAATAAGGATCCTACCATTCAGGGTACTCTATTTGGGTCCCTTATTTTCGGAAACTCCATATGGGGCCGGGGGCATTTGCAAGTATACTCGAGCTTTTATACTTAGGGAATGGCATGTGGAGGGGACTGAGGCTGTAATTACATGCGGTTGAGCTTCATGACTTGTGCAAACTGATTACGTTCTTGGACCTGCACACCTATCAAGAGACACGATGTGCACCCGTTGCCCAACCATGCGCGATAACTCAGGCATTGGGTTTTTTTGGTGCAGCCTCTGCCTAATGTTCACTGTGAAAAGTCTGTAAATGTATGCAGGTATTGCAGCAAACATACATACCATGTGTGTGTGTGTGTGTGACTAGACTTCTCTAGTACATACATATATCTATGTATAATCATGTATGTACATAAAACGTATACACACCCACCTACATGTCATTCAATTACTTGTGCATACATTGGTTTCGGTATTCTGCAATAGATATCCACCGTGGTTTTCCGTACAGGCCCGATGATGGCTAGTTCTTCTGTTTTCGAAGCAGAAGAACTAGCCATTTTGTGTTTGGCGTCTCTTAACTGGTATACCGTAGCGGTCTGAATAATCATGTACTGCAGTAAAATTACCTGTCCTCTGATTCCGTAGCTTTAGTATAGTAGAGAGCCCACAGTAAGTTCATACCGGCATGCAGTGTCTATGCCTCACCGTCTCTCTCCACTATCTTTATCTCTCCGCCCTCTCTCTCGACTCATGCATCAGAATGCACTTGTAGGTCTGTGTGTGTGTGTGAGAACGGGAAAGTTGTAAAAGCTGCAAGATGGACAGAGGGACCAATGCACCAACAAACATGTCCACGGGGGCATATATCGCCTACTGCCAGTTATATCAGCAGCTCGGCATACTGACGAAAAAAAGATTCTGGATTGTGTACCTAGCTGTTATGATCATGTATGTTTATGTGGACATGCGTGCACATCGTCTACGTCTAAGTCCCTGCCCCATCTCCGGTCAAGTCTCTGACGAAGGAGAGAGTCGGAAGCTTTCCGGCAAAGTGGTGCACGTCAGCGCTGACGGCCTGTGGGCTGCAGCTAGCAATGGATGGGATTTCGGGAACAGAAAAGCACATTGTGAAGACCTGGGTTTTGGTTGTTTTCGTCAAAGTAGACGTTCCATAAAACATGTACATATGATGAAATACGACGACGACTATCAATCAAGCACTAACAGTAAGATAGCATTGATGTTAAAACCATGGTTGGTAGGATTTCAAGGCGCAGTTCTACTAAGGAAAAGATCCAGGCTGAGAGCTCGGCTCAGAAGCTCCCGCCTGCGAGGCTGACGGGGGACAAACAAAAAATTGAAAACAAAAAACAGAAAAACAACAACACAAAAAAACAATAAAACATACTAAAACCGTACTCGTTCGGGAAGTTCTTCCATGCAGTGGATGCATAGAGGCATAGAGCAGCAGAATGTCAAACATATTCTGGGGCCGTCGCTTGTTTCGGGTCTTGAGCTCATTGGCCACGGTGCACGTGGGCGGCCAAGGTCGGTATGGCTACATTCGGGTCAATAACCGCAGGGGGCCAGATGTTCATTTCTGGATGGACGTGGTGAGGGACTCTGGTGGCTTGAGTCTGGATTTCGGTGATCGCGTGGATCTTTGGATTCAGCCGCAAGGCGAAGGCCGGACGACAGCAGGGGCCGCGCCTGGGCCGGCATCGATTTGCATCTCCAGCTGTTTTCTATGTCTACATGTCCACATGTCGCCACATACCAGTACTTACCAAAAACGACAGCTGCGACAACACTGTATGTTTGTTGTAGATAATTGTTTCGTTCAGGCCAAGACTCTTTTCGCGATGCTGTTTGCTTTACATGATTGTCGCAGGCTACTGAACGGTCATCGCAACTTGTTTTTTTTAGAGTGTCCTGGTTTGCGTACTGCAAGCGCGAAACCGACCCCGACTTTATCTAGGTGGCAATTTGGGAAACCTTTTAATTTCCCTTATGGTTCCTATAGAGGCACCTATTCATAAATACTTTTCGGAGCCCCAAAACTACAACCCAGTTATGCCCAGCCCAAACTGCGAATCCGGATTGATGTTGTTTTGGAGTATCAGGGTCATGGCGCTTAGGTGCATAACGGAGTTGAATCGTTTGGGGTACCTCACTCCCCACAGCAGGGAGCTTGAAGAGGTGCATTTGGTCTCCCTTGCGCGCGATACGGACCGGCGGAAGAAAGCATTGGCGCAGATGGAGCAATGGAGGCTGGCAATACAGCAGCTTCAAAAAGTCGTATGCATCTTTCAGGACGCTGGTGTCATACCGGGATCCCTGACACAGACGTTGTGTTGGTGCAGTAGAACTAGTAACTATTGTTCACCTCTCGTCCTGCTTTTCAACCGTCCTTGTCTTCTGCTACTTCTTCTGCAAAACAAGAACAAGCCGCAGAAAGTTGTGAGACTGCCATTGTCAGGCAGCAGATCTGCATGCAAAACCCACCCGTGCAGGATGCCAAGTTCCAGGCCCTGTGTGCCCAAAGCCGTTCAGGGGTTTTGGACGTTCCGCGGGTAATTTCGTGGCTACAAAGACCTCCACCCGGACGTTGTAGAAACCACGAATCCCAATTTGAACCCCAATCAACCCAAACACCAGCAATCACATGACCAGCGATCCACTCTTACACAACTTTGGGAAAGCGCAGTATGAGACCCCGCAGTATGAAGCCCGAACAATACGGAGATCGACAGTTCCTGCGTGATAATTACTATCCCCTTGTAGTCCATGCGTACAACATGCTGCAGAACCCTGTCCTAATTGCTGATGCCCCCAATAATACTGAAGCCAACAGCCAACGCAGCAGGCTCGAAGCGGCAGGGCCCTCTGGCAAGCAGTCCTCGTGGCTCAGCTAGACTGCACCAGCATCGTTCTTGTTTTAGTGTTTGGGGCTTACAAGGTTCAAGGCTTAGTTTAGGCATTTCGGCTGATGGGGTTTAGGGTTTAGTTCAAGCTTTGGAGTTCAGATGCGGTAGCTTGATTCGAGTAAGTACTTACTTTTGTGGGCTTCGCAGTTCGGCGTACCTTGTCCCGGCCCTAAACCATACCTACTAACCCCCCCTTCCCCTTTCAAAATCCCTTAAGCCCTAAACCATCAACCCCAAGCCCTATCCCTAAACCCTCTTGCCACGTAGGAGGGAAAAACAATTCCAAACCCTGAGCCCTAGAAGAACAAGAGCCTGCGAGAAGGATCTCCTGGAGCCCACCATGCGCAACGAGACTCTTACCTTTCCTTAGTAGGGAATGGGGCTCCTTTAAAGGGATCTACAGGGGTTTAGGGTTCCTTTAAAGGGATACTTACCTTTGGTTCGTAGGGAACGGAGGAATGGGGCACAAGTATAGCTACTATTACTACCATTCTTCCATTCCCTACTAAGAAAAATTGTAAGGACTTGGCAAGCGGAAGCGCGGCGGGGGCCAGGGCCAAGCTCCGCCTCTCCGCCCTCTCAGAGTGCCGAGGCTTCGTAGCCCGAAACCTTCGGGATCAGAAAGTGAAATGCACAAGGTGTTTAGGGAAAGTCTAGAGTTGACGTAGGGGTTTCAGGGTTCTTCCCGAAACCCCTCCACAAGCTCTTCACCAGAAAGGGCCGATTGGAAGCCAGGCTGTTTCTAGATATCCGCGCCGCTGCCTCGTATCGAACTGCCTTTGGAATTGACGGCTGCTTTCTAAACCCTATGATTCTCCACTATTTTCACGAGGTCTCCTTCAGGTTGAGGGGAAAGCCAGGGACTATTCTACGCCTATACTGTCGTTTTCCTTATCTGAAGCTAGGAACTGAAGAGCAGGCCGGCGAGGCACGTGTAACCCTTATCTAGAATCTAGACCCCTTAAAGTAGGTAGAATAATGGCCCAAAACCTATAAAAAGATGTTATTCTACATACTTTTGGGGTCCAGGTATCAGTCTTCGTGGAACGACTTGGGAAATCAGTACGGTATTTAAAGAAGTCATGCAAATTTAAAGAAGAGTTGTTTCTAAGTCAGGCTGCGAACCAGACAAGTAGCTGCGGAAAATACAGCTTTGCGCACGTGGGTGGTTGTCAAAAATGTGGTCCCATTATTTTGGGAATTTTGGGTACCCTAAATAAGAGGTGCCGTATCATAATAGGGACCCAAGAAGGGACCACAATTTTGACAACCACCCATGTGGGCATGTTGCCCCGACTGCTTCTAGCATCTTTCAGCTAGATACAGTAGTTGACTCAGGCTGGTCCGAGTGTGAGTGTCATATAAGTTGACTCTGTCGTAAAGTGGTTTATCCGCGGCAAGATGGAATTCATTCGTGTTCCTGTCTTACTTACATACCGACGATAGCACTTAGCAAGCACGTGGGGCATCCGAGCACATGGAGTTTCAGTTAGCTGATTTCAGCAGCGAAAATTTCGTATGTTGATGGATGTCGAAGATCATGCACATTATTGGTAGGCAGCCTAGGGCATGAGTAGGGAGGCCGGAAAGCGGCAGATATTCCTTCATATTGTTGCTGCAGTTGCTGCAGTGAAGACTGACCCGCACCTTTGCAGCATTTTGTGCAATCTGCGCAGGCTGCCAGCCCAATTACTTGCCGCCACGCTTTCTGTGCCGAGCGCCACTATGCAGAGAAGGTCTACCTGCAAAATCGGGCCCTGCGCAACGATCCCGCGGAGCAGTCGTCGATGAGTGTGGAAGAGGCGAGCACGCAGTCTGGTGTCTTCCAAGGGGAGTGTTTTCTTAAAAGTGTTCCACTTGCTTGCCATCCTTCGACATCCTCCAACTTCGGTGATTCACAATAATTCTCCGGAGAAAAGCTATGTGCCTAGTGCCCCAGCCTTGACCTGCTGACGGCTTACCCAGGTCAACTACACCCACGCTGAGATCAGCGATCAGTTTGGGGATGGGCGACCTTTGGAATCCCTTCTTGCGGACCTCAGGCGAGGCAAGATCTTGCCTTCGGATGACAGGATGCAGCTGGAGGCATGCCTGCTGAAAGACAAGTACCGGTCTCTGAACAATCGGCGTCTCCGAGTACTTAAGCTCTTCCATTCGGAACAGAAACGGATGGATCCGACATGCGATGTTCAAGTGCAGGTCCAACTGCGCCCGCTCTGCAAGAGCACGGCCCGATTTATACAAGAGCTATGCAAGTCAGACGACCGGTCGGAGCAGACCTCACCCCTGCACCCCGGCGCCAAGCAAGCCAAGCAGACTCTCTCGGACATCGAGAACGCGAGTGTGCAAAATCGCAAGAACGCGCTGGTGACCAAGTGGGCGCTCTCGAGCCTGGGAAAGGCGCAGGAAGTCCTTGTCTCAGCCTTGACTTACATCGGTGCACCGACTCGGCAACGCACTGGCCTGATCAATACAGTCAGCAGGGACAAAAGGAGAAGGCTGGATGACGACATGACGAACATGATCAACATCAAAAGGGAGCAAGTCATCAATGGAGAGGAAGTAGAAGTGGTGGAGTTTGAGGAGAAGCTGTACATGCTGAACCAAAAGCTGTGTAAGGCTTTGCAGGACAAGCAGGACCGCCAGAGAGAGGCCATCAAGATCAAAATTCGCATCGTCCCTCTGTGTCCCTGGACAGCGAAGATGGTCCTCGCGAACAGCAGCCGCACAGATGGAAAGGATGTGGAGTCAAAGGGCTCTGAGTCGGAATGGCCCTTGTGTCGCCTTGTGTACCTTCTGCTGGACTTGGCCAACGGCTTGGCGCAAGAGCCAAACTTTGCCTCGACATTCGACTTAATTGCTGCGTCGGCCCTTCTTGGGCAGGGTGCCCTGATAGCGGCACTAAAGGAGCAAGAGCATGGATCGCGAATGTGGGAGGCCGCAGCCTTGCTCCTGCTCAACCTTTTCAAGCTGGCGCCAACTGGCTCAAAAGCAGCAGCTTGGGTGAGCAGCAGGTAAGGTTTTGCTGCATGCTAATTTTTTGTGTAGCTATCTCGGTTAACCTGCTTGACGCCCGACATATGGTATCCCAGGCAATGCCAGTATGTGCTTACATGCAGGATGTCACGGACGAGCTAAGAGACCTCGAGGAAAGCAATTGCCAGAGCAGGAGGTGGCTGAACTTGCTTTCCTTCAGTACGCGTGCCATCGTTGGCCGGTCATCTGATGCTTACGAAGCTAACTGGGATATGTTGTCACTTGTACCCACCCTGCACCAAATCCAGCGTGGCGAAGATCAGTGGAACCGACGGCGCAATGCGAGAGAGCTGCCCACAGTGCGGGAGCGGGGCCGCTACAACTCAGAGCAGCATTACCTGGATACTTATTTCCGGCTTCTTCGCGAGGACAATTGGGAAACAAGACAAACATGTGTGACATGGTGTGATCACTAACAAACCGAGAATCTGGGAGTTAGGATTAGGGGAACCCCCAGGGATATATGGTCACGCGCTCCGCGGCCCCCCCCCCTCCCCCCCCAAAGGTCAATGGTCCGGATATAGGGTGGGACCCCCCCTCCCCTGTGGTGTGGGGTGTGGGGTCCCTCTTCCCCCTGTGGGGTGGTTGTGGGGTTTTGGGGTTTAGGGTTTAGCTTAAGCTTTTGAGTGTTGGGTTTACGGTTACAAGGTATAACGCTTCGAGTCGACAAGGGCTTAGGGAGGACATGCGGTGTATGTTCTGCTTTAGGCTTAGAGCCTGCAGTTAGGTGGGGTTTAGGGTTGGGTGTAGGGTTGGAAGTACAACTTAAGGTTACTCAAAACAAGGGCACGCGCTGCGTTATAGGGTTTACGGCTTGCTTGCGAAGGGCTTGCGTGCGAGCCCTGGCCGCCAGCACCATCCCACCATCCAGTGGCAGCTCCAACGCCCCGACCCCTTTCGCGCACGCCAGCCCCCCCCCCCCCCCCACCCCTAGCAGACCATACCATTGGGGGGGGGGGGGGGGCTGGGAACGCCAGACGCCTGACCATATATGCCCTCTCAATAAGGTCCGTTTTAAGAGAGCCAGACGTAGGGTTCAGAAGGGCTACCCTTTAAGGGGTCTCCCTCATCATGCTACCCAGAATCTAGCGCTGAATCGCTCTGCTGTGCGAGGAATGCCTGGCTGCCATTCGCAGCACATTGCATCATGTCGGCAACGGGAACATGGAGGCAGAGCAGATTCGCCGAGATGGAAACATCTTCGATGCTTGCCTGACGGGCTTTAATGCCGCTGAGCTGTGGTTGGAACTGGGTTCTGGTTTTGCTTCTTCATCTGCAACACGCCAACGAATTCCTCCACAAAATCGATAGGTCGTAGCGATTCCAGCAGCTGTCGAGGTTTCGCGAAACCAGGGAGGCAGGATATGATCAAGCCTCTGCACTCTGAATACTGTCGAATGCCGAACATGCTAGAATATGCTAGCTGCTAGACGCTCCTCCATCTACACTTGCCGTGAGCCATATTGTCCATGTCCAGTACGTAGATAAACCAATAAAGAGGTGGTTTGTCCACGGTTGACGCCACCCTGGCAGGTGTGCTTGACAGCCGCATCAAGGTAGTGTTCCGCGTACGGCCCAACGGCACATGGGAGAGATGGCGGTCGAAGATGGACAGGTCATTCAAGTTCGGTAACTTGGTAGCATGCATTAGCGACAATGCCGTTTCTCAGCCAATTTGGATGCTGGTCGCTTGCCGTGATGTGAAGAACCGCACTGTGGCATTGGGTTTGTACAGCGCGGGGGAGGACGATACGACCCGACTGGCACGGATGTGGGATGCAGGGAAGCTGATGCTGATAGCATCCACTACATACTTCCGATCGCTGGAGCCTGTTCTGCGGCGGCTGCAAGACGCAGAGCAAGTGGGGTTTCCCTTCAAGGAGGAGCTGGTGTATTGTCAGACTACCCCAAGGCGACCCTCAAACGTCCATGCTGCTGATCCAGTTGACTGGAAGTTGTTCTTCCGCGGCCCGTGGCTTGGAGTAGCACAAACCGTAGCTCTTGTGGTGCACAATAACCTGACGTTTAGGGTTTAGGCATTATCAGAGGTTCAAGATACCCGCCGGAGATCTAGCACAAGTTGATTGAATGCGTTTTTCTGGCGTTCAAGCTTGCTGCGATGCCTGAGGAGACCTGATGTGAAGGATGACTGCAAGTTTCTGGTGGTTGGCCAGCTCCCTACTGTACTTTTCCTAGTATACATGCCTCATCTGCAAAGTTAAGGTGGCCCGGAGCCGTCTGGACGGCCAGTCCGTTTCACGGGGACCAGCGTTGAGTCTCCCGACGGAGAGGCACTCTTCAAGGCACAGAGAGATAGGGTTCAGGGTTCTTTGGGTTCAGGTTTTGGGGTTCCTGGTTTAAGGTTTTCCAGGTGGAAAGGTTTAGGGTTGAGCGTCCAAGACACAGGTCTGGTGTGGTGCATGTTTGTTGGGTGCGGATGTTCACGACGGACATAGACAGCGCAGAGGAAAGAGCTTAAATGAGATGCACAACTCCCTCTCAGATCCCAACAAGACCTCCGAAAGCTGAAGCACAATGCTCCGAGTAAACAGGTGCAGCCTACAAGCCCTCATATCTCCCGCGTCTGCCGACGAACGACAGCCCTCCAAATGCAAACGGCAAAGCACACGGCCAGGTTTTCCTGACAAAGCATGACGGGGAATACGGTTTCCGGCTGCAAAACTTGGCCGGTCAAATCTTCATCCAGCTCCCGGGAACCGAGACAGGCATTCCGAGCCAGGGGCCGGTGTAGGGTTTGAGACTTTCATGCTTTGGTTGCATTTAGGTCGCACGTTGTGGCTTGTTTGTTGAGTTCCACGTGTGTTCAGATAATGCAGGAGATGTCTTGCAGATGAGATGAGAGTGTTGATCGGGAATGTCCGAGCGCATCCCAAGAGCTTAGCAATTCAAACTGAAGCCGAAGCACCCGTGATTTGAGAACTGCGTAGCTTGTGCTTCGATACTTACCTATGCCATTTTGGGGGTTCCTTATTGTAAGTATAGCATTGAGGCCCCGATATGATCTAAGCTATCATGATAAGGAAACCATATTATTTACTATAGATCCCTACTACCCAGTGATTTGAGAACTAGCCGCCAGGGCTTTCGGTGCAGCTCGGGTTGCTTGAGGCTTCCTGTCGAAAGCCCATAGAATGTCTACCTGAGTCTACCTATGCGGAAGGTTACCGTTCCTCTATTTTTTGAGGCCAGGGCGTACCATACGGTATGTTTTAGGGTTTAGGGTTTAGGGTTCTATACCCCCCTCAACCAAAGTATTCGTACCACCGTCTGCCAAGACTCACTATGCATTCGGGTTTGAACTTTGAGCTGCGAGGCCGCATTCTGGGCATAAAGGAGGACGCAGAGGTGGAGATCGGAACAGACATAGCGCGAGACTCAGGGCAAGCGGCTTCAGTGGAGGTATACGGTGAGTTTGAGTTTGCTACTTACCTGTCATGCTTGCGAAGAACACCGTGTAAGACACACACCGTGTCAGATTCGAAACTCCATGCCCCAGAAGGCAATTCAAAGCGAGTTGTTTGCATGCCTGCAAGGTGTGACCGTGCTTGATCCTGGTGTCATGACCTGTCAGATTTCTCAGTCAGGGTCACTACCGCTTCTGAGATGTTTCATCTCGCTAGCGGCAATTTGCTGACAGTACCCTGTCAGACGCTCAAAATCGAAAGTGGGGACATGCCGCTCGGTGTCTCCTTGCCTAGCGGCCTGCGTGGTGGGAGGTTTACAGCCTGGCTGTTCGGTTGGTTTCAGGACCATGGTTGAACGACCGAAAACTGCTAACAGGTCGAACCCGAGACTCCCCACGTCATAGGTGAACTGAGCAGCAGCCCCCCCAAGTCGGATTCGCAGAATCGAAGTCCATGCCAAAGAAACCATTCGTCTTCGCTGCTTCGACCGCGCTAAGCTCAAAAACTTCTCATAGCCCTGGGCCCCGGTTCCCAATACCTGAAACTCGAGCCAGCGCTTACTATGCAACAGAACGCCGCATGCCATGAAGGACAGAAACCCAGAGAACTCGGTCCCAACATTGAGCACTATATAGGATCTATAGATGCCTGTAGACTGAGAGGCTGGTTTAGGGACTTTTCTGCGGTTTTCTAAGTCCGTCAAGACAATCCCTTGATCGCATGCTGAAGGTGGCCTTCACCCATCGTGACCCGCAGAGGGAGCTACGCTTCGCGGTGGTGGAAGCCAGCGAGGGCCTCTGAGTTTAGAATTTGGGGTTTAAGGCTCGAGGTATGTATGTGCTATATATATATATATGTATGTACGTAATTTTGTATGTGTGCCAAAAATGTCTTTCTGAATGAATGTGTCTGTCTGTCTGCCTGTATGCATGTATGTATGTTTGTGCAAATATGGTTCAAGGCTTTGGGTTCAAGCTTTTTTACATCAAGTAAGACTTGCGCTGTACGTTTCCCGAGGGGCAGGACTTCAGACAGGGAGGTGTTGTATGGAGCGCTGCATGGGATTCTGTGAGCTGTGAGTTTTCCAGCCCGAAGGCCTCAGCTAGAAAGGGTTAGGGTTTGGATCTGGGGTTGAGAGGTCAGGGTCCGGTCTGTAGCAAGTCCAGGAGTGTGTGATCAGAAGCCGAAGTGTTGAGAGTGCTTTAATTCGGCTTCTAGGAGGCGCGATCGAGCTTGAATATTCTTGGTCCAGGCAGTGAAGGGTCGGAAGCTTGTGGCTGAGAGCTGATGGGGTTTATCTCAGATGTTCCTCGTCACACACGGCCCCTATCGGCTGCGAGTTGGAGCCGTTTACCCGAATGCAGGAATCCCCAAAAAACTTCGATAGAAGCACATTATATGTCCTGAGTGGCACTCAAGGTCCCAACCCTAAGCCTTTGCAGCCGAGATGCAGTCCACCAAACCAGTGCCTAAACCCTGAACCCTAAACGGTGAGAGTCGAAACCTCAACTGCAAAATTGAAAAGTGTACCAAGCAAAGAATCCCTAAACCGCAAACCCTAGACCCTCAAGCAGTGCAACGTGTTGTGTTCAAGCCGTGCCGTACAGCTGCAGCCGAGCTCAAGTACTAAACAAGGGCACTTCCAAAACGGAAGCCAACTGAGTCTTCGAGTCTTTTCCACTGGGAGGGCACTGTCCTTGCTAGGCGGGAGGCACAAGAAGCCCTAAGCCCTAAACCATAACCCCAATAAGCCCTAAAACATAAAACCCTAAAGTTGCAGGTGGAAGTTTGCACGAGATCCGGTCTGAGCTTACCAGACTTTGTAATGTTGCCGAGGCGGGATCGCAACATGCGTTCTTTAAGCCAGCATAGGTTAGGGAGGCTGCTAGGCATGGATAGCACATCTTGCTCCTTCGGCAGGGTTTTAGCAAAGTACTGATTGAATGAGAGGGGCGGGGTACATGTACCAGATGTCTACATTAATCGTTATGCGCCGTTACCAGTGTAGGCATCGCAACAAGGGCGAGGTAGCACGGAAAACGACAGTAGCACCCCATGATTACCCCATGTATAGTAAACGTGCAGGCGGTGTTGCATGTTGTGTGCCACGCACAAACATACCTGAACAATGGGTGGGTGTGCGGCGGGTGTGTGTGCGTGTGTGTGTGTATAGGCCTACGAGACACATTGCATGAACAATGCTGGGAACAATCACACCTGCGAAAGGCTGATCAGTCTTGTGTCCATTTCTGGTGAGCATTTGCCAGGAGCAGTTGTCACGCCGAGTGATGCTTCTTCCGAAGTTTACACTACTACGCACACTGTGGCGGTCAGACTGATCCACACCTAAGCCATTGACTTGTAGGAAGAGATATTCGCACGCTAGAAGGTTTACATTCCCATACAGTAGCATGCAACGTACTTGTACAGGTGAAATCAACACTCATGCAGGGGGTCATTTCTTGTTGCCGCATCGCTGGGTGAGACCTCAGGTGTTCATTCCACCCGTTTCTTGCTCATCCTGATGTCCATTGTCGTTACTATGTACGGCTGCAGACAGTCAGGCGCCTGCACATGCCGGAGTTTAGGACGTGTAGAATGGTGAGGACGATGACGAGTCGATGTCTGCAGCATCAACCACCTGCGACTCGAGCTGCTGGGCAGGTGATTTCAGGCTGTATGAAATCGAATTGGTTTAGCCAGATGGGCTCACTTCTTCGCAGTTTATGGGTGCTGCTTCTGAATTCGATGAGTTCGTGGTAGCAGATGGTTCTTGTGGCGACGTGTCGCGTGCAGCTGCGGCTGTGCCCGAGTCTTAGAGATGACGTGGAGGGTTTCAGAGCATCCGGGTTTCCGTCGATCTATGATTGAGGCTTTCAAATCCAGCTCTATGACGAAAGAAATTAAAATCGCAGGTCCTCAGCACGAATCATTTCCAAGCCCTCTAGCCTGAAATTGAATCACGAAGGTGTTTGCACTACTATTTAGACAGGCTATGCTCATACTTGGTCTTGCGTATAGTTTTGCTGGCTACTATTATATTAATATATTTGTGTGCGTGTATACCATAGCAATGTCTATATGATTATCTGCACTTGCACATGTACCATCACACTCTATGTGTGCGAACTCATATAATTCATAGCCCTCCATACGCATGCTGCTTCAAGCTGCCTACTGCTTCGATTCTGGGTGCTGCTTGGAATGTGTTAATCAGCTCTGCTATTGGGAGGAGTGTTGCATAGTCATCCTGATTGAGTGACTGTTAACTCAGCAGATCTGCAGGTTGAAAAGCAATGCTCAGGGTTCCACTACCAGTCAAAGACAGAGGGGACTAGCAGGATAATCTCCCAATGCAAGTAAACCCTCAATCTCATGTCGGACAGCAGGAAGGATTTCTTTCACTCGCGCTTCCTCTTGTTCGATGGCTTCATTGCTTCCATCACCCACCGGTGCACCATGAACCATGCCTGCAGCTGACTCCTCTGGCGGGCCACTTGCATTGCAATCGATGTCAAAGATTCATTCAGCTGATCGACCGGCAAAACGGGATTGTAAGATGCAGATGTAGAGGCCCTCAGCTGAGCAAGTTTATGCTCAAAACGGAATGGAAGGCTGAGAGAGAATTAAACATCAGGTAAGGACAAAAACCTGGTCTAATTGGGGCTCCCTCATTCAACAATCATGCACCGACTCTGCATCGAGGTTGCTTGTTGTCATGAGTCAAGCCCGCCGGCAGGCGAGCTTGAAAGTGCGGAAGCGTCTTTGTGCGATGCTGCACATGCGTCACCACGATCTCGGAAGGCATGGCAAACTTGTCCTTCAAGAACTGCGGGATCGCCACAGCATTCGAGATGCTCCTTCTGCTTTCCCTCTCCTGCTCGGCATTCTCCGCTGGCGGAGCTGGTGGCTGCTCAACTTGGGCATTGTCCTGCATGTGACAGGAATCAAAATCGGAGGAGGGAGTACCACGGTTTTTTGTGATTCTCCAGCTGGTTATGATGGCAAGGTGCAGCAATCAAATCCAACTGCCGAAAAAACACATCAACCCTTTCGGTTCCTTAGTGGCTGAAACCCAATGTGAACTGGAAGTGGGAGGTTCCAGGCGTTTGAGAACTGTGCAGAACTGTTTCAAGGAATGCTCCAGGGTGCATGGGGGTTGCAAAAGAAGGGCCTGGTCGTCAGGAGAAGCATTCTGCTCCATTTCTCGGACGGCGGCAGCTGCAGCCTTCATCACTTCGTCGCCATCATCTGGCAGCATCTCCTGTTTGGGCATTGCCACATGAAGCACCGTTTCTACATTACAACACTTTGACAGCAATGTCGG